TTTTTTTTTTTTTTTTACTACAAGAGTAAAATGAAGAACCCTTTTCCACGTCGTCAGTCCTAGACTTATATTTTTCAGATCAATCAGCATTCGGTAGGTAATGTGGTTAACATCCCGTAAGTAAGCACGTAAGTAAATTTTACCCCACCAGGACATCACACAAAGCGATTAACACCATGCGGTGCCACCATGCGGATAAGAATCACATGGGGAGAGGTCCCCGAAACCGCGTTTACCGTAAGCCTTAACTGTGGCCGCCGGCAAAAGATATAAACCCGAACGAAAAGTATATTAGCAAGCTTCACAATATAATAAATACAAACAAAACGTGAACGTTGCGGCTATTGAGCCTTCATCAGCACATACAAATTAAACAATACTACATAGATACACAAAATCACTTAGCTGGTATCTCGATGCAGGCAAACGGGCGGCTAGAAGAGAAAGCTAGCGATAATGTACAAAAAGGAATGAAATTAAAAAAAAATGAATATTTAAAAACAACCGTAATAATGGACAATATGGACGAGTGCGACAGGTATAAACAGATAGTAGCAGTTCTGGGCGGGCGAATATACTTTTCGTTCGGGTTTATATCTTTTCTTGATATTTGTATAGCTTCACAGCAGTTTATTAATCTCACGCCGGCAAAAGGTAAAGGTAAAGTTGGGAGATGTGAACCAGCGTCACTACATACGGTTATAAACCATAAACGCTCTGCTACCAGTATGGATAGCTGATAGGAAACTGTCCGCCTGTGTCGCCGTCCGCACGTAACTCCGTAGCTACTTAGCTACAGCGACGTTCCTCAATTTACCCCAGAGTGTCAACTCTGGTACCCATTTCCTAGAGGCTGAGTGAACCCCGGGAACCGCCCAGTTTCGAACACCGACCGTGGGCTGCAGCGGGTCACAGTTTGGGCTTCAAAATAACGAAAAATTGCGTTCCACGTGGGGACGAAGTTAGACACAGTTAACATCATATCGGCCGCCTTTACTTCACAAGATTGTACTTGGTACCCATTTTAGGCTATTTTCTTTAAAAAAAATCGACTCGATGCAGATTTGAACCTACAATCTTCAGGCCTGAGGCGAGCGTCTAGCCATTACACAATGGTGGCTCCAACGAGACTGCAAGAGAAAAACAGCAGTTATCCACGACGACACGATGATAGTGTTTTGTATAGGATTATTGACCTATAGACAGAGATAGCATGGTTGGTGTCCTTGATTTAGGAAGGGAGACAAGCGACCATGTACTGGAATATACGGTCGAGGAACATGAGTTTTGTAGGGCAAGCACGGGCGGACACGATCGGTCTGTCTGGGTTGTCAGGTTTATGTACTTTAGGAAGCAAGTAGAAGGCGGGATTTTCTAATAAACTTTCTTGGACAAATAGAAAGTTAACCTGGACATGCAGAAGATCTTCCTCAAATAAGACTGTGTGGATGCTTTAATAAGACTGTGTGGATACTTTTTACTAATTTGTTGCTCTCAACAGTGCTAGTAATATACGCTTGTGAATAGGTAAAAAGCGTTTATTTATATACTACGTTCTTTTTAGGGCTAAATTTTTTTGTTATTCGAAGCCCCACCCTGGCTTTTGCCAGGGGCCGCAATATAGGCAGGCCATAAATATGGCTAATTGTCTGAACGCGGTTTCTGGGACCTCTCCAAGGTGATCCTCATCCATATGGTGACACTTGAGGTCATCGGGTGTTTATCGCTTGTGTGATGTCCTGGTGGGGTAGAAATTCAGTCAGTCCTCACCTGGATCTACACTACGGGGCTGAGTGGGCTCGAGGTATGGCGTCCGCTTCGAGTGCTGGAGGTCTCGGGTTCAGGCCCCGGTGAAGCTTGGGATTTTTTTCACCTGGACTTTTAGTAACTTTCCCTGATCTCTGGGTAGTAAGATCGGACGCCCGTGTGTATTTTTGTTCACGTAAAAAAAATCCTTTGACAGTTGGAAATCAAAAAGAGTAGTCTAACGTCAACGACGCTGCCTGGGCAAAATTGGGATTTAAAAATCTACCCAAAGTACTTCAGGATCCTCGCCGGTAATACGGATTTCGTGCATTGCGCTTAGATTCTCCGGACTCAGGCTTGAGTTAAAAGTATAACGGAGCACTTATGGGTGTCACCTGTGCGTCATGATGTTGATCCGTTGAATAAACAAACGAGAATCAGAATGACGTATCAGGCCAAGGTCGTCGGCAGACGGCCTTGATCGGGACATTGTCCTATCTCGACCCGTGTCGACTCATCCATATATGACCAAGCCACATAGCTATCTGTCTCTCAACATTACGCTTGCTGTCTTTCATCAGATTTACTAGCCATTAGCTAATTCTCGAGCCCATTCGTTCTCCTATTATGTTTGATCAATAATACTTGTTAAATAATTTGTAAAACGAAAGCCCTCTAGCGTAAACGACACAGTGCCCCGGAAGTATTTCTTTTTCATTTAGAAAAACAGAACTAGGATCACAACAAACGACACCATTACTCTCAGCCATCGATGTACGTACACACAGTTTTGTGATTACAATTTGTATAATTATTATTGCACTAAAATATATTAGATAATTAATTTTATACGCTCTATTGATATAAACATAAACATTCTCGTTTTTTTCAGTTGTATTTGAACAGAACGTTGCCGGCTCTGTTACCCAAATCATAGTTAGTTGAGTGACAGCAGTGACAGCAGTCTAGTCTTAGTCTTAGTTTTAGTTTTAGTTAAACCTGAGGTAAGTTAGAAAAGAAAAGTTAAGACGACAGAACAATATGCGAACAGGTGCAGCTGCATCTCAGCCAAAGTTAGAATCAGTATGCAAACCAGTTGAATTATATATTGGCGACACTTGCTTGCGGTTATGAACCAGTTTCATATTTCCAACATACATTTTTCGGTATAGCTGCAGGCGATTTGACAGCAGACCGCTTTCGGCAGTGGTATGAATGTTGACTGCTCGGTAGACAGTAACAAACAGTCGAATGTAATATTGTGTAGTTTAAAAAAAAATGTATGCAGGGTTTGGTTTACAACATCGTGCACAGAATATACTGTTAGTACTGTTACTGTTACACACATACACACCCACTTACAATATATTCACATTGACGTCTAAATATGTCAGAGGAAGAAACCCTGTCAGAGAAATCTCAGAGCTGGTAGTCCTAGAGATGCAGAATACAGAAAGGACAACTCTTGTGTTCAAGAAAAGAATCTCAAATGGCAGCCTTATTTCTAGTCAAGAGTAAATCTCACTGGAAAAAAAATTTATTTTTACATGGTTGTCTCTAAAAGACTTCACTCATCAGAATAATGTGATCAAGAGAGTTTTGCAACAAGCATATTAAAAAAAAAAAAACACGTAGGCATCGTTGTGGGAAATGTCAAATGAAACTATAGTGGACATGGAAGGGCACTGCAGTAAAAGTCTGACATGCATAAGACGCAAAATACTTATTTTGTATAGATAATCAAAGTTCCATGTCTGCAGGCTACCTCCTGCTGTCTTCTAAAGGTGAAGCCCTTGATGAGTGAGAAGCCCAATATACGGAAATGAGGTTAAACAGTCATGAGCTGGTCATATAGACTCTTTGGGTGAGCCAAATACCAGGCCACCATGTAGTGGCTCTGCATTTATGGAAGCCTCCTTGGATGGTGGGGAATGCTCATATTCTGCCCCTGCGTTCCCTGTTTACATACTCCGGAGCCTAGCTACCAAACCAATCCGACACAATCGAACCACACTATTACAAATGAGGGATAGAATCATTGTGAGGCTCCACCTAACATTTCACACACATCTTTATGACTTGATTAACCTGTTCTTATTGCAGGAAGACAAGACCAATATGGTCACGCATGGAATATTTTCACATTTCAGAAGTCAGAAGTGCCATGACAAACAATCCAACACTAGAAGTGCAGTTCATCATAAATGGAAGCAGCAGTTACAGCAAATCTGTAGTTGTATTTGCAGCTAATTGAAGTCTTTCAATTAAAAATATATTACATGCAAAGGACCGCATGTGGCCTAAATGCATTTCATTCCATATCTTTGGTAGCTCTTCAAACTGCACTGGTATATGTTAGAACTGAAACTACGTAACTTGGTTCTGAAACATATAATTTAGAGTTCCATATTGTGTTCAAGCATCAGTGGCATTTAGAAGGCTCATGTTAGCTTACGCAGAACATGACTATGGTCAGTCTAGAAATATTATGGTATGACAGGTTAGTTGCATATCCTTTACAAGGATGTTGCAGAACCAACTCCAACAGCCCTTGGCTGTTACGTGATTTTTTTTAAAGGCAAATTTACGTTTTTATGGTATGACAGTGAAAATAATAAACATTATCTAATCAGTGTACGGGAGCTCAGCGTATGCAGTGTGCACAGAGGATGGTTTAAGTGACTAGTGCGAGTCAAAACTGGGGTGAAACAGGAATGTATATTATTTCCTCTGTTTTTTGGTATCGGGTGGGAAATGCACAGTTGGAGGATCTCATTTTTGCAGATATTTTACTGTTACGCATGAAAATTGATAACATGCAAAGAAAAACATGATTTAGCAACTTTAGCATTAAATAACTGACAAATCAGTTATAAATAGACAGTATGCTGAAGACTTGAGACATGCAAAGAATGAACTCTGTAGCTGCAGCAGCTGTCCCCAGATTTCTGGAAAACATCTGCACTCGTGAGCTGAAGGACATAGCCAGAAGTCAAACTCACATTTTTCAGAGCATGAGGCAGATGAATCAACCACTAGTCCACTGAAACTCCAGTCAGTATCTGTCATGACTGTGCAAGGTTCTCTACATTCTGTTTCACAAGACTTCATTAGCATAGTAATGGACATTTCAACAATCGACTTAGAGGTTGGAAATGGATAACAGTGGAGAAATACATTATCAATTGAAGTATATAATTTCAGCATGGCATTTATAATAATTAACCTAAGATAACTACACATTTTTACTGCAGATGGCATCATTTCTCGTCGATAGACATTCACCAATAAGATCTGGTATTGCACCAAAATTGCGTCACAGGTCTCGGCAGTCAGAATCTGAAAATTGTGCAGGAGAGACACCATCTGCATCAGTGGAAGATAATGATTCGACACCAGAAAGCAGAAAAAGTGAGAGAAACGGAGATGTTGCACAGGAAGCCAATGCTGCAGACAGTGATAGTCTGGAGAAACAAAAAGATAAAAGTAAGTATTGACATCTCCAGTTTTTCTTTTCTTGCACAGCTTTACTTTTCGATTCACTGTACATGCTACAGCTAGTTTGTATTGTGGTAAAAAATATTACCCATCAACTCAGTCAGTACAAAAAACAATAGCAACGAGAATGCTCATACTGGATAAAGGAGAATGCTCAAACTGGATAAAGGAGAATGCTCAAACTGGATAAAGGAGAATGCTCATACTGGATAAAGAAGAATGCTCATGCTGGATAAAGGAGAATGCTCATGCTGGATAAAGGAGAATGCTCATGCTGGATAAAGGAGAATGCTCATACTGGATAAAGGAGAATGCTTAAACTGGATAAAGGAGACATTTTGAAGGCCATCTATGAACTAATGCTGATAGAAGATGGGAGTTTAGATTTTTAAAAGTTGTAGAAGATTATGGGTATGAGGAATTAGGTATGGATCTGGCAAGGAGGGATGAATGAGAGGAAGAGAACTATTTGTGTATATTCAGTGTGCTTCAGAAACAGCATCTATACCTTAAATCACTTGCTGCAGGAGAAGTAGCATCTGTGGGTATGGCCGATGTGCTGTGATGTCAACTCTTAAATCAGTAATCTTCCTCCGAAGTCGGAGTACATCTGCCGGAGAGGCGGGGAACGAATACTGCAAACAAATAAGCCAGTAAAACGGATGTACACGCAAAACTCAGGTCAAGGTAAAAGCCAAAAGTCCATTTTGGACGAACAACCATGACTTACCGCCGGAATTCACAGCCGGTGAACAAGAAGAAGAAGAAGAAGAAAATCAGTAATCAGTATCAGTCAGTACTAATCTCCTCACCGTGCATTTACTGGTTACTCCTTACCCAGTATTTACTAGCACAGTCAGCTTCTACACTGTAAGGCATTTGCTGTGGGCATGGCTTCTTTCTAGAAAAAAAAAAAACTTCAAAGGATTGATATTCACCACAAAGCATCTATTTCAGTAACTTTGAAAAAGTTGTGCCAGAAAAAAAAACTGGCTATGGGGAATTGAGCATCTGTGGGTACGCTTGGTGTGCTGTGATGTCCATTCTTAAATCAGTAATTAGCAGTCCTTATATGCTTTTCTATAAACTTTTTTTTTCAGTAGCTGTTATTTAAAACTTATGTTAACCCAGCTGTTACTTCAGTTTCCCTTGTCTATTAATGTTTTACCTATGCCCCTCACAGAACAAAACATTCATTCCTGTAGGTAATGAACAGTTCAGATTGTAGATGGTAAGCTACTTTATGATAAAGCTGACATAGTGAAGGCTGTTTGGAATCAAGTGGACAATGCAACAGAACAGACCGTATTCATACCTCAAAGGACTGATTCAGCAGGTGATGTGTAGAGGTTCTGGATGATATTAAGCACTGAGAGGAAAACATAGGTGAACTTGCATTACCATGGAGTCTGGAGCGTAGCTGCTAAGGAAGGACACAGAGAATGTATGGGAATGTCCCTCGTGCAGTGACGTCAGTTCTGACTAATTAATCATATTCCCATAAAAATCCAAGCAACCAACACAATGAGACGAACCGGATCTGCTTGAGTCAGAGGCAGACACAGACACAGTACCTTCTTATCCACTTCCTCCCAACCACCTTTTCAGTTTTGCTGCCATCATCAGTTATCCTGACTTTTTGGTCATGAGATTATTCATTGAGTACCACAAAGTGGTCAAATTTAGTTTTCTGTGTATCACAAGATGGTCAGATGTTTTCACCAACCATTTAGCTGTGTCACTGCGCATGCTGAGCTGACCAAATGTTTGTATGCATGCTCAACTGACCAAATGTTTGTATGCATGCTGAGCTGACCAAATGTTTGTATGCTTTCTTTAAACAGACAAGTCCCTGCTTAGCTACTTCATGACAGAACTCATGAGGGACTACCGGCTAGAAGGAGATGCCTCCGAATTTGTTGAACGGAGAGACAGAGTGTACACTTCTGTAAACACTCCCATGAATTTAGAAAAGGTAATTATGCAAAGTTTCTGGTAGCTAACCTGATGTGAGTGGAAGAGATGAATTGGGGCATTTAACTGTTCTGGTTTAAACGAGCAATTTGAAACCAGGTCACCAGATTGTTTCTGTGCATTTGTGTAATGAGGTACTTAGCTAAACTTCTATTTTTGTAGACCAATCAGCATTCAATGGGGGATGTGGTCAGCATCATGCCTTTACTTCCTGGGACATTTTCTAGTGCTCATTTTAGACTGAATCAACTTGGGAGTCTAGACCCATTAAAAATATTCACCTCAACACAAATTCAAACCCAGACTGTTTCGGCTGGTAGACTGAGGACTAGCCATTGTACTGCTGAGCTGGCACATATTAAAGTGCTTAGTTAAATTATGTGATTAAGAGGCAAGCACCCACTTCTTTTAGCCACAATGGTTGCTGATCCATCCATGTAAACATCTATCCATGACTGTCTGGGATAGTTTTCCTGGATCATATTAAGAGCAGCTGATCCTTTTTGAAGGTTATTGGACTCATCTCCAGCAGGGAGTCCATTGACAGGTCAAAAAAAGAGGGCCCATCCAATGTATCAGAAATGAACAAAATCTGGCCAGAGATGCTTACTTGACGTGAGTCGCTCATCATTCTACACCTCAGGACAGGGCATGACAAAATTAACAGGCATACCCACATGCTTTGTCTAAGTAGTTCACCATTGTGCCCATATGGGTTGTGGTTCAAACTGCAGAACGTGCTGCAAGTCTGTCCCTTGTAGGGCACATTGAGAAGGGAATACTGACTTAGTCAATACCATGCCATACTCATAGTTATATGGAACTAAAAGGGAACTTTAAAAAAAAAAGTCATTTTTATTACAAGAACTTGTCTGTCAGTGTCAGTCAGAGAGCTGTCACTTGAAAAAGAAGCTAAAATGTGCACATTGGTTTTGGTTCCATTAGGAGTGTCAGTAATGACTTGTATTTATCCAGGGCATTGATGTACCTCTTATATATGTTTACTCTTATATATGTACTGACATCATTTTTAAGACATCCAAACATAAGTGTGACCATTAAGAAACACATTATAAACAGCATACTCATACCAATACTACTGCCAGTTCCAGACTTGGTCATAAACAAAGGCTAACCTATGTAAATTTAACAACTATGAACGGAGATGCATGAGAAAAGCCGCCAACCTAAATATCAGAGACATGGTGAGAAATGATACTATCAGACAGACTGTGAGAACACCCCCCCCCCCCACCCCCCAACCACTCTCGCCAACAATGTTAGTTTTAAAATTAAATATAATCACATGTAATCTCCTAAGCAGATGCAGACAGAACCAGTTGTGTTAGCTAGACTTACTGGGAACTGGTCAGTGGGGCAGTGATTATTAGGCTTTTTGCAAGGATGTGTAACAGATGGGGATCCTGGATTAATGGCATCTCTGGGCCAAATGGTGAAGAGTTTTTGAAACATTAATTCCAGCATAATTGCACTTCCATTTGTGTGTGTGTAATTTTTGTTCCAGTTTTGCGCTTTTGGATTTCTTCAATGCCTAGACTCCATCCTGTATATGGTCACCTTGCTTCCCTTGCGTATCATTGTAGCCTTGATCAGGCTGCTGACTTATCCCTGTGCTGTTGTGTTCACTGGGTAAGTTGTCATCAGAATTTGTGTTTTGTATGTGTGGTATTTTTACAGTGGGAATGCAAGGGTGATGTAAGTAAAGTAAGTAAAGGACCCTCTTCCACACCTTTAGGCGTATAGGGAATATAAGGCTAGACCTATATTTTTATAAACCAATTGGCACAAGATGGGTGATGTGGTCAGCATCACGTCGGCCGCCTTTACTTCCCGGGACTGCACCTGGTACCTACTCAAGGCTGGGTCGACCTGGGAGCCAAGGTCATTTTTGAAAAAAAGTTCGGCTCCGCCAGGGAGCAAAAGGGTGATGCACAGGTAGTTAAACCTGTACATGTACATACAAACTTTTAAGCTTTGTTGTGTGGCTTACAGGTTAGCAGGTGGAGGGTTTCCATGGTGAAGTGATCAAGTCATTTGCCTCATGCTCTGAACGTTCTGGGTTCGTTTCACAGCTGCGTTGTTTGGTTCACTATTGAAATATTTTGGAGGTAACTGGGGATCATCCCCACGGCTGTGGTGTGTGTGCTTTGCGGAGCACTCTCTGCATGTAACCAGCCATTCTGCAGAGAGAGACTGAGCTGTATGGGATAAAACTTGGTGCAATGAAGCCAATCCTCTCGGCGGTAACCTTTAAGAGGTTAGTGAATGTGTTTCACAGTTCCACAACCTTCAGAGTCTCTGGGTTTTGACTTCTGCAGCTGACACTTTATTTAACAATAAAAATGGACTTTTCTCCTGGCATTCAGATATTGGTACAAGAATTGTGCCATTTGGAAACATTACTTAGCTGCAATAAAACAGATGAAAGCAGGGAAGAACACAAAAACAACTCGGTACTAACGGCAGAGGAATTAGAACCTGGTATATTATTAGATGAAATAGAACATGTCATTCATACCGCCCCTAGACTGAAGGTGACAGGCATTCATGATCTACCTGCTGAGGCCATCAAGGGGGCAGGAGCAGCAAGAGCAACATGGTTGAAGAGAATATTCCAGGTAGCATGGGAAAATCAAGAATTGCCATCAGATTGGCAAACTGCTGTCATTGTCCCGCTATGGAAAAATAAAGGAAGTAAGAGGGACTTTACTAATTACAGAGGTATGTCGCTTTTCAGTCACACTGGAAAAAATGTATGCTAAGATCATCGAAAGAAGACTAAGAGTAAGACCAATGATAGAGTACCAACTTTCAGAAGCACAGATGGGATTTCGACGCAATGGAAGTTGCACAGATGCCATTTATACTTTAAGACAACTATTGGAGAGAGCAATTTAACATAATAAAACCTGCTGGTACTTTCTTATTAGCCGACCACAAACAGGGGAAATCCACAGGTCACGGGACTGTCAAATATTTCAGGGGGTGGTAGATTAAGCGTATAGTTTTGGTTAGGGTTAGTTTAGGGTTAGGTAATCGCTCAAAAACCGTGTCCTTGGAAGAAAAGCGCTAAATCACAGAAAACCCGCTCTTACCACCCTCTGAAATATTGTTCTGTCCCGTGACATCATTTGTGGCCAGCTAAAATGAAAGCACCGACCTGTTTGTTGACATTCATAGACCAGGAAAAAGCCTTCGATAAAGTCAGTAGGAATATGTTGAGAGAATGTATGGAGAAAGGGGAATCAGCAACCATCTGATTAATATTTACAAAAGCTTGTACACACGTAGTAAATGCTGTTTAAAATCGAAGGCAGGATTATAGTGAACTCTCGTGTGTGTCAGGGCTGTGTACTATCGCCATTTTTGTTTATCACATACATGGATACTGTATGTAGAGAAACAAACTTTAATCATCAAGAAGATATTATAGAAATACTATTCACAGACCAAGTACTCATAGCAGAAAGTACAGAATGCCTACAGAACCACCTAAATCAAATCAGTAACAAACTGGAGGAATATAATATAAGAATAAACACTACGAAGACAGAGACAATGGTGATTGGAAGACAGAAAGACAATTTCAAAATAAAATTAAAAAAACAGCGTCTTAAGACAAGCAGACTAATTCAAGTATTTGGGAACAATTTTCACATCCTATGGAAAAATATACAGAGAAATTAGCTCGAGATGTACCAAAGTAAATCAAGTAATGGGGAAACTATCTTCCCAGTTGACACACAAGCAGATTCCCTAGAGTGCTAAAGTGAACCTTATCAGAACTATTTTTTGACCAACACTATGTTATCAGTGCCAGACCTGGATACTTACATCCTCTAATGAACATATAATTGTGACAACAGAGATAAAATGCACTAGAAGAGCTGCAGGAGTTTCAAGGAAAGACATCAAATGAAATCACAAAATCAGACGAATGCTAGGATTAAAGCCAGTCCTACAGGTCATCAAGGAACAACAAATGAAGTGGTTTGGACACCTAACAGGAATGCTCTGGCACTATCTGCCACAGGGAACCAAACTGAAACATTACAACGGGTGTAGAATGAGGGGAAGACCTCAGAAAACATGAAGTGATGGCATAAAGAACAGCTTTATAGAAATGAACGTCAATCTTAATATTGCTCTTGACAGAGCTCATCAGCGAGCGTTATGTTTTTCCCTGACACTTCACTGAGGTACAAGGTGGAAGAAAATAATAATAATAATAATATCTGTTATGGGGAAAGATAGAATACCCTGATTCGGTATCAGGTCATTGTAACTGAGCACTTGCAGAGTTACCCAGGAAAGTGCAATTTGTATAAGTTCTAATAATAAATAGGGTTAAACTGTTTTGACTAACCAAAATTTTTGTGTTTCTTCAGGAGTAGACGAGTGCTGGACGGAGCTCAGGTCTGTGATATACTGAAGGGTGTTATCCTCATTGTTAGTTGTGTCATCATCGACAATGTGGTCGACATGTCCATGATTTACCACATGGTCAGGAAACAGTCCATCTTCAAATTCTACGTCTTCTACAACATGTTGGACGTAAGTGTATTTGCTTGCTGTTGGTTGAATATCAATTTTTTAGATTGCTAATTGTTCAATTTCTAAGTGTGTTACCAGACATTTAGAGAAATAAAGGTCGGAGACACTTAGTATACCAAGCATGACTTATTAATTAATTGTTAGGGTGGATATAGGACTGGAGACAGCAGTGCTGTGTTTGCCTCTCAGTTTCCCTTCGAGACCAGCTGCCAAACAAATCTAAAGCCTGATCTGCCTTGCCATAGCAAGTTTTCAAGTTCAGTATCAAGTTTTCAGGCTGCATTTTCTCTTCTTAGGAGGAGGCTAGTATTCTCCCCAATGTGCTGCTAAACCTGAAGCTGTGACACAAGAGGGGTGTCAGGTAATCTGGTAATTTGGTAATCTTAGTTTCAGCTTCACAGCAAACAGGTCACCCCATAGTTGCTCCGCTACTGTGCCGGGGAAAACCATACAAAATGTCAGCTGTCCTGTGGAAGAATTGACAAAGACTGCGGTCTTAGCATATCCAGTAGCATACACATGCATTAAAAAAACATAAAGCAGTCACCAGAAGTGCTAACACCAACAGTCCGACTTTAGAAATGCAGGTCATCATTGATGTCAGAGGTGCCAGGTTTGGCATAAGCCTCCCAACATTTAACTTTATCATAGCACAAGTAGTACTGACTACAGTTATGTGGTATCTCAGTCCTATGTGACATAGACCTGACTCTGTAGCCTTTGACTATTTGCAGGTAATGGACAAGCTGATATCTGGGTTTGGTCAGGATGTGTTGGACAGTCTCTACTGGACAGCTGTGGAACCACATGGCAGAAAGAGAGAACACTTTGGCACACTGTTCCACTTGATTTTTGCAATTGTTTATGTCGGTATCCTTTTGTTTATGTACCACAGTTTGATTCTGTCTGATTAGTAGATTTTCTATGTCCTTTTGAGGATAATTGGTTGTAGAGGCAATTTTTGCCATTTGTTTGTGGATAATCTATGTTTAGCTCTAAGTAGTTTAATAGTTTTAAATGTTGCTAATCCACCCAACAGTACATATATGAGATTTATGAGATTTAGGATCTTATTTTCTTTTTTTCCTGTACTCCTGGAATGCCTCACAACGTTAGGGGAGGAAGATCTCTGGAACAAGCCCTTCCCGTCGCTTTGTATAAAGTACTTTTCAGTATCTCTTATATTTCTGCGGTCCATCGTCTGCATGGTCGACCTCTGGGTCTGTTACCATTGTATCTGTATAACACTGCTCTCTGTGGTGCCCTGTTTGATGCCAATCTTGTTACATGGCCGAACCATTTCATTTGTTGTCTGCCGATGAAGTTCAGTATTGGTTCTGTGCCGACTCTCCTCCTGAAATCCTCATTCCTAAGTCGATCTTTCCAGTTTACGCCCAGCATAGTAGGTAAATGTTTCATTTCTGTCATGGCTATTTTCCTTCTGTCTTCTGAAGACATTGTCCATCTTTGACACTGACAGCATAGCGTTGGTAAGAATATTATGTCAAACAGTGCTATTTTAATATTCCTTTTCACATGCTTGCATTTCAGAATTGATGCCATTTGGCTTATTTAGAATCAGATAGTATAATTTACTTTAGATTTCAAAACAGCATCCTTCTCGTTGCTGGTTATGTGCCAGGAGTTTTTTTTCAGGCCGTGGAATATACGCCACTTGACAGCCATGGTTGGCAGATGTGCTGAATAAACCATGTGATGGTGTAACAGGGCCAGAGGTCAGACTGGTCAAGACCTGTCTCCACCTGTCTGCAGTCATCCAACCAGGGACCTGGCCAACATAGATAGAATCAGTGTTTTCTTCATCTTCTTCTTCTTCTTTCGTTCGCCTGAAATAAGTTGTCTATATCAGCAATTTTTTCTCTTGTATAAATTTCACTGTTGTTGTTAATTCATTCAGTGGTCCATAGAGTTTACGTTCCACTGTTGTTCTTTCCGGCCAAAAGGTTTGCCTTAATGTGTCAAATTCGGTGCAGTCCTGGAGTACAAGCTCTGCTGTCTGGGGCACCTTTCCACAGGTGCACATGGCTGATACACCTATCTTGAATTTTGTGTGCATGTGGTTACGTAATCGGTTGTGCCCTGTTCTGAGGCGGAGGATAATGACTTGTTCTGATCTGTCCATAATAAAATAATCGTCTTGTGCTGGGGCTGGTGGTTTCCTGATTGATTTAATGATTCTTTTCTTTTGTTGGTATGTGACTGCTACATCCGGCTGCACTTTTGTCGCACCTTCTCCTGCCAGTTGATCAGCTTTCTCATTTCCAGGCACTCCACAATATGATGGTATCCACTGCATTACAACTCTTTGCTGAAGGCTAAGTTGTGTCAGCAGTGTTTGCAATTCTGGTAGTTTCCTAGACTGGAGTGCTTCAAGTACTGATTTTGCATCTGTCAGCATTACCACATACTGTGAGCCAAGATTAGTATTTAGCAGTTTCTCTGTTGCTATCTTGATAGTCTGAGTTTCTGCATCATAGTTATGGCAGTACTTTCCGGTTGGTACGCTGGACTTATCCCTAGTACCATCTGGGAATTCTATGTACACTCCATCACCACCATTTCTAACTGCACTTTCTGCAGACCCATCTGTGTAGACTCTGACCCATTGTTCTTGTGGGTATTCTTCATCAATATAACTGAGGGTGGCCATTCTGCGTTGTACACTATCTTGTTCTTTCTTGTCAAATATTCCCTTCACATTTGTCTGGATTTGTACTGTTAGTTTGCATTTCTCTCTCCATGGGGTTTGTTCTGGAATACTGTTAAGTGGGCAACCAATTTCTGGAAGGTCAGCAGGGGTCCAAATGGAGCGATGATGCGCAATACAAGACTCTTAATGTCTATTAGCCTCTCTTGCTCAAGCCTACCTCACCTTCACGTGGTGGACCCTGTTCTTCCCAGCAATCCAGTTGAAGGTTGGGGTTTCAACCCCCAGAGGGAAACTGGATGGGACAACAAACGAGGTAAAGGCGAAAGACCAAGGGATGAGCCTACTCTCCTCGAGTATGACCACAGTCTACCCTTGCAAAACAAGGTGCTGAAGTCGGAGTCAACCAGCCAGGAGGCGCACCACAGCAATCAGGATGCCACGCACACACGCCATGGAAATATGTTTTCTTCATAATTGGGGTACATCTGCCTGGGAGGCAAGGAAACAACAGTCTGTACACAAACAACCCAAGTCTTTAACATGGATATGCACACAAAGCTTAGGTCCTAGCTGAAGTCCCTGAAGTCCAAAAGCCCAAGTGTTCAAACAACTTAAATTTTTTGGTGGAGTTAACAGCTGGTGAACAAAAAAAAAGAAGAAGAAGAGAAGGCGGCCAATCCATTTAGCACATAGGTTCGGTTTTTTAAAACCTTTAGCGAAGAATCAAACCCATCCTATGATGCTTGAGGTGGAAATTGTGACCCCTAAACTGGTTGCTCCTTGTGTATTTTAGTATTAATTTTGTGTCGGATATGATTATCTTTCCTTGACTGATTCAAGTGATTCATACGACAATGATTGTCATTCAAGCAATCATCCTCAATGTGGCATTCAACTCTCGAAGTAAAAATCTGCTGACAATAATTGTGTCTAGTAATGTAAGTTGTCAGTATGAATGTTTACCGGCTACATTAGATTTCTTTTAAAATGTGTATCATTATGGAATGGAATTACCATTCCTGATTGTCTGCCAGGAGAATTTACAAAAATGTTCTTGTAAAACAGAGAAATAATCTAGTCACAAGTCTTAGTAGTTCCCATAAGAGGAGAATAAATGTTGTATGTTGAATTGAGAATCAACATGACAGCACTCAGGGCACCCCAGTAAGGGCTCCGTCCCCATCTTCAGCAGCAAGCAAAGAGTTCCAGTGCTGATGGCACCACTAACTGTCTAATGTATATCCGTCTCGCCTTTCCATTGAGTGTTAAGCGTCGGCTAGATCCGAACTGGTAACTCCCCACAACACCATTCTCCTCAGACCATAATAATCTGTTTGTGCCTTCTCACTGTTCCCTCGCTCTGAAAGGGACCTCACAACATCCAGCTTGTCATACATCATCTTAGGAGGAGAAGAGATTACTAATGCTGTAATCATCTGCTAATGCAAAACAAAATATATGAAAATGTAATAATCAGTCATTGTACATTTAAAAGATACGTTTATCAGTCTTCACAACTGTATTGGCTTTTAAAAGCTTCTTTTTGTGTAAAGGTAACATTTTCAAATTCTCAGATAAAGCTACATATAACATTGTAATATACTCTCTTGCAAAAGAAAGTTAACACTTTGTATTTCCTTCAGAAATCGTGTAGTTTATGTCTGATTGCAGTCAACATTTTCTGACAATCTGAATTTATTAGCATCTTAATAAGAAGTGAATTTTTAATAAATGTGCTTTATAAACATAAATGAGGTTATAATCACATAAACATAAATGAGGTTATAATCACATAAACATAAATGAGGTTATAATCACATAAACATAAATGAGGTTATAATCACATAAACATAAATAAAGTTATAATCACATAAACATAAATGAGGTTATAATCACATAAACATAAATGAGGTTATAATCACATAACCATAAATGAGGTTATAATCACAGCTCCAGAACGACACCTTATTGAGTGGGTCAAGTTTCACATTACAACTTGTGGAAGATTATTTGTTGCAGATGAACACAGTGATGTCATGATGACAGTTTTTAAATGGCTGCCCTATTTTTGACAGGCACGAAAGATGAACTGCGTTCTTTTGTCCTTTTTTTAATCATTGAAGTGATGAAACCTTTAGAAATTCATCTGCGAATGAAAGTCCAATATGGCGATGCATGCCTGCCAGTCCAGCAAGTGAATGAGTAGAGCAAAAAGTTTCAAAACTGTGTGACTTCTGCGACAGACTGTTCACAACCAAATGGAGCTCAGCAAAAGCCACTTTTACTTTCCAGAATATTTCTTGGTGCCCATTTTGTGTTAATAAAAAAAAAATCTTGCACCGATGGGGATTCATTTCAAATTCCTGTCATTGCTGCAGACAGACATGTTACTAATGTGTTGTGATATATGGAATCCTATTTTACAGTTTGTTGAGATAAAAGGAAACTTGTTCAAGCGCCTGGACAAAAACAACCTGTGTCAGATCACGTACAGCGATGTTCGGGAGAGGTTCCACTACCTTGTAATCCTGTTATTTATCTTCATCAGGAACCTCGAAGGTTATAAGTGGAACTGGGGTGAGAGAATTTCATATTTCCTGTCATGTTACACTACATTATAAAGTTTCTCGATCAGTCTCACACACATAACTTTTTTTCTTTCTTTTAAAGCCTTGAATGGGGAAGAAAAGGCAACACAGGCCCCATTAGGATGGTACTGTAGTCGCATGTGTACTGTTTGTGTGAAAAACAAGAATAGACCCACTGCCTCCTCTGCAAGCATGTCATAGGAGTTAACTGATTGGGGGCTTCCTTCAAAGTTGGAGTGCATCTGCCTGGGAGGCAAGGAGCCAAGGGTCTGCATACAAATAAGTAAAATATGTGAAACGTATGTGCATGCAACATTCAGGTTCTGGAACAAGCCCAAGGTTCAAAGAGATAGAAACACCCAGAACTTTCTGCCAGAGTTTACAGTCGGGGAACACGAAGAAGAAGAACAACCAGTAAGCTACTGTTGCAGTTAGCATCTACACTAAGGCTTTAGCTGCTGGAGGTGCAGCATCTCTGGGTGTGCCTGGAGTGCTGTGATTTTGACGCCTGATTCGGTGTTCAGTAATCCTTCACACTTAATCTGAGATAAGCAGACATTTTATAAACAGTAGAAATGCAAATCTGAAAAGGCCACTGCCAGTTAACAAGCATGTCATAAAAAGGCAGTTAATTAAAACTTTGCTGAAATTGGATACATTGGGCTGAAAGGTGCAGATTTTGCAGCCTAGCTGCAAACCACAATACAGCATGTCAACTGTCCTTTGAAGGAATGAATGAATGAATGAATCAAGAATTCACGTCACTGCACTTAGGACATTCCCACACGTTTTCCATCCCCGTCTTCAGCAGCCAACGAAGAGTTGACATGCAAATAACGCCAGCTGCAACCTGATTCAGAGTCCGCCTTTGTTTGCCCGTCAGTGTTGAATATCTTCCAGAACCTCTACTTACCTCTTCCACTTTTCAGTGTATGGGTTCTCTGTCTGTTCTGTTGCACTGCCATTTCCATTTGATCCTTTTTAAGGGTGGGAGTTGCCGTGGCATAGTGGCTAGACACTCGCGGGTGGATCGGAAGGTCGTGGGTTCACTTCCTGGTGGAGCTGCACTTTTTTTCACAATTGATTTTGACTCCCAGGTCGACCCAGCCTTGAGTAGGTACCAGGTACAGTCCCAGAAAGTAAAGGCGGTTGGCGTGATACTGACCACATCACCCATCTTATGCCGATTGAGCTATAAAAATTTAGGTCTAGCCCTATATGCCGTGTACGCCTAAAGGCGTAGAAAAGGGACCTTTCAAGGGTGAACATGGAGGAAGAAGAAGAAGAGGAGGAGAAGGATTAAAATAGGCCACACTAGAACACTCATGATGCTTACTGTGATATGCTGTTTGTATTTCAGACTTGGTACAACCAACCCTTGTCATGGGGTTCAATGTTGTTCTGGTGGAAGTAATCGTGGACTGGATTAAACATGCGTTTATTACCAAGTTTAATGAACTTTCAGCCAATGTGAGTTACAAACAGAAATTTATGTTTCAGAAGGCAGGTTCTCTGTCACAACTAATGTTTTACTACTTGAATGCCTGTTTAGTGTTTCTCTGTCTGCTGCTCATGTTAGTCTGTCTGTTACCATCTTTGTCTAATAAATGTTGATACCAATGGCTGTCCCAGTATTTCTCTTATTTCTTCGCCCTTCTTAAATTAATTCCATTTAATATTCGTCAGTTTCCTTAGGTGGTGGTTTTCACATGTTACACCTCCCTGCCTAATGACTTCCGGCCGAAATGGAGAAAAGGCTTGGCAGAATGTTTAGCTTCAAAGTTATTTTTTTCTTCTGACAGTGCTTTGCTAATGCAGTTTCCACATAAGTCGTCTACAGTTTTGCTGCCTGACTTTAGAGCTTGGTTGCAGCCCTGTGAGCTGTGTTTTTTCTGTGGAATGCCTTTCCTTAGTGCAGTGGTAATGTTATGGTATTCATGACCTGTAGCCAGTTTACGTGTCAGCTGATGAAATATCTTATGTAATAATTCTACGTGTGTATAGTAACCAAATTATCGTTCCTGTCCACTTCCATCAACGACAAACTGCATTTCTGGTGGCGATTGTTGACTTTGGTGCACATATTTCTGGATTGTTCTGGAACTAGTTATTTGTTCACCAGTTTTTAGTCACACAGTGAGGGTCATTTCAGTCGATTTGCACTGGCACATAAACGGAGCAAGTATGGGGAAATGAGCCGGAGCATTTAGGGCTGCAAGGCTCGTGCAGTCACCATTTTATTTTTGTCCAGACAGAAAATTCTCTGTTCCTTACCGATGATCGAATCCAGGTCTCCTGCTTGAGAGCCAGGGCTCTGACCAGTAGGTCAGCCACCCCTCGTGTTCACTGACAGGCATGCTAACAGTTTAATTAAATTTGCATTTATAAACATGAGATGACTCTTTTAAGCTGAAGAAAAAAAGATGGTATTTGTTATCATTTTATTATTTTTATTTATCTTTCAGTCGTATGCTGACTTTGCTTTAGGATTGGCTCAAGACATTGCCTCTAGTCAGAAGAAGCATGTGAGTATTGATATCTAAACAATATGACCCACAATTTACCGGAGCCAACCAGCGTAGTAAAGAATAGTAATATTGTGTCACAAAAGGCATTGAGGAAGCTTGGTCGTTGCCCTGCCTCAAAAGGCTGTATGTTGTGTGCACTTTCTAATGTCCTACTAGAAGAAATGTTGTGTTGGCAGGAGTTGATGTCTTCTCACCTAGCAGAGATTCTTAGATGCCATTGTGTTGAAGTCTGCTTGTGGACCCTCTGGCTTGTTTCTCCTGAAAGATAACCACAGCAAATCCTCATGATATTGTTGATACCGTTCTGTCTTTACAAACGGTATTGTTGATACCGTTCTGTCTTTACAGATGATATTGTTGATACCGTTCTGTCTTTACAGACGGTATTGTTGATACCGTTCTGTCTTTACAGACGATATTGTTGATACCGTTCTGTCTTTACAGACGATATTGTTGATACCGTTCTGTCTTTACAGACGGTATTGTTGATACTGTTCTGTCTTTACAGATGATATTGTTGATACCGTTCTGTCTTTACAGACAGTATTGTTGATACCGTTCTGTCTTTACAGATGGTATTGTTGATACCGTTCTGTCTTTACAGATGATATTGTTGATACCGTTCCGTCTTTACACACGATATTGTTGATACCGTTCTGTCTCTACAGGCAGTATTGTTGATACCGTTCTGTCTTTACAGATGATATTGTTGATACCGTTCCGTCTTTACAGACGATATTGTTGATACCGTTCTGTCTTTACAGATGATATTGTTGATACCGTTCTGTCTCTACAGACGGTACTGTTGATACCGTTCTGTCTCTACAGACGGTACTGTTGATACCGTTCTGTCTTTACAGACGTTATTGTTGTACTGTGCTATTATTTGGAGATTTGGGAATCAAAAGCTGTGATGATGGCTAGTGAGATTATCGAGACCCGCTTGTGATGAAAGAGTCCTCCACCGCTGTTGCCCAGCCTGTATTTAATGTGCTTCTTTACAGATGCTCAGTTTTCAACCCATTTGCCATCATATTCTCCTTTATCCCTATTCTCTTTCTGACTTCCCCTCCATGCAACACAGTCCATGACATCCTGTTACCACAAATCCACCTCAATACCTATATGGTTCATGTCTCGCTTGCACACATGTTTATAAAGCAGTATAGACCGCCTGATAGTTGTAGCATTAAACGACCAAGTCCTGTACTCATGCTCACAACTCTTCTGTGTGATAAAAAAAAGGGTTCTTCTTGCCAGTTAGGATGGTAGTAGAGGTAGTACAATTTACCCCACCAGGTCATCACACAAGCGATAAACACCTAGTAACACAAAGTGCCACCATGTGGATGAGGATCACCCGTAGAGAGGTCCTGGAAACCACGTTCAGCCATTAGACCATATTTATGGCCGGGCTATATTGCGACACCTGGCAAGAGCCAGGATGGGGCTTCTAAATAACGAAAGATTGCATCCCACAAGAGGATGGCTATGATTAGTTAGGATGGAAACGAGTACTAAATTACTTACAAAGACAAAATATAAAATGATTTATCCACCTACATAAATGGCTGGAAGAAAAAAGAAAATAATAACCCTTTACTTTTCTTGATACCTGAAATGGTAAAAGAGGAAGTTAAGAAAAATATGAAGATTATTATGTGCATTATATCTTTGTTATCTTTTTTTATTTATATCATCACTTTAATTATTGTTATAATTGTTTAAAATATGTTTATAAATGCTAATCAGTTTTAGATTTCCCAGTGTGTGTTCTCCGGGTCCTTTTGTGGGGTGGGGTGGGGGGGGGGGTGGAGGGGAGGGGGTGGGGGAGGAGTGCAGGGGAGGGGGTGGGGTTTGGGTAGAGCCACTGTCTTACTAACAGGCGTGTTGTAAAAGTCGACTAATTTGGTGTTTCATTCAAAGTCAGAGTGCATCTGCCTAAGAGACGAGGAATCAGTCTGCACACAGCTAAGCCAGATGTGTGAAACAGATGGGCACGCAAAACTCAAATTCTGGAACAAGGCTTAAGTCCAGACATGGATGAACAACCAGAATTTCCCGCTGCAGTTTAAAGCCAGTGTAATGTGGAAAAAAAAAAGAGGTTTCACCATAAAAACACATTTTAGATACTATAAATTGTTTAAAAGGTGTTCCCTGTGTGGGTTCTGAGCTCAATTTTAATAAAATAATCGGCCCGCCGACCCAAACAACCATTTCTTAAAAAGCAACTAATTAGGAATTTGCTGAAATAGGATGGTTGAGCTGAAAGGCACTGATATCACAGCCTAACTGTAAACCACACTGTTACCCTTTGAGGGTGAACATAGAAGAAAATGAAGTTTAAAAAATATTTTTATTTACTCTTGTTTCACCTTTAAAGTACACTCACTTTCATTGTAAAGTACATTGTGACTTATGCTATTTTTTCTCTGTATTTTTCTTCTCTCCTTTATATGTGAGCTCCACAATTTGCCGCCCAGGATATGATGTTGGTTCATTTCTTTTTCTTTTGTAGGCTTTCACCAATTTTAGTGATCAGGTGTGCAGACGTATGGGTTTCACGCCGATGCCGCTCATCTGTTTGCTGTTTGTGGTGTGCAACAGGTGTTTCACTATTACCGGACCTCTTCCTTGGCTGCTTGTCTTTTTGTTTTACCTCTGGTAGGTAGTTGTTAAATGATTGTCGACATTTATGAAATCCAAACAGCACATATTTTGTTATTAAATATTTCTACTAAGATTTAAAGATGTATGCAGGCAGGACAAGAATGGTACAGGTGTTGAGATGGATTTGTTGAAACAGAGCAACATAGACACAATGTATGTTGGGATGTGGGAGGGGGAGAAGAATTATGAAGTGAATAGGGACATAGGAGAAAAGGCTTGCAGACAGGTTCATACCTAAGCGTCTGAGAAGACATGTGATTGCAACAGTGATCCTCAAATCTCATGCACTTATCGAGGAAGATTCCTCTCAAGGTGAGCGGGTCTTGCTAGCCAAACTTGCCATCGCCATGGGCTGTGATTGCCATGTTTCCCCATAGAACACTAATGCCTGGAAAGATTGAGAGAGGCCAACAACGTTGAAATAATATCTCAACTGTTCCAATACCATACAGGTCTTTGGCAGATTGTCAGTGGAGGGAAAGAACCACAATAAAAAAGTCTCAAAGACATCACTTTCAGAAAGGCTAAATTTACAGCAGATGTCATTATTGAAGCCAGATTTCTTCCGTATGTTGAAGCTAAATGGGAAAAAAATTAGAGAACATGATAGTTGAGATTCAAGGGAAGAGCTGATCACACATGGCAGTTTGTTGTTTCTTTTAGAAAAGTGGCTAGTACATTCTATTACCAATGTGTTCTTTTTTGTTATACAATGGCTAGTGTGTTCTGTTACCAATCTGCTCTTTCTTGTAACACAGTGGCTAGTGTGTTCTGTTACCAATCTGCTCTTTCTTGTAACACAGTGGCTAGTGTGTTTTGTTACCAATCTGCTCTTTCTTGTAACACAGTGGCTAGTGTGTTCTGCTACCAATCTGTGCTTTCTGGTAATACAATGGCTAGTGCATTCTGTAAACAATCTGTGCTTTCTTATAACACAGTGGCTAATGCATTCTGTTACCAGTCTGCTCTTTTTTTTGTAACATAATGGCTAGTGCATTCTGTTACTAATCTGCTCTTTCTTGTAAAACACTGGCTAGTGTGTTCTGTTACCAATCTGCTCTTTCTTGTAAAACTCTGGCTAGTGTGTTCTGTTACCAATCTGCTCTTTCTTGTAAAACTCTGGCTAGTGTGTTCTGTTACCAATCTGCTCTTTCTTGTAAAACAATGGCTAGTGTGTTCTTTATTTTAACAATCTGCTCTTTCTTGTAACACGGTGGCTGGTGCATTCTGTTACCATAGTGCATTCTGTTACCAATCTGTTCTTTCTTGTAATATAGTGGCTAATGCGTTATGTTACCACTTACCTTTTTTTTTGCAGCCTTGTGTTAGTGAACAGTTAATGAATTCTTTAGAAAATATGCCAGAGATTGTGTTTCATAGTTAGTTCCTAGTCTCTCAGGGAGATGCACTCTGACTTCGTAGGGAACACCCCTAATTAGTTTACTTTTATGATATGTTTGTTAGTGGGGTAGTGAGTCTGCCCTGCTCCCCCTCCCCCCCCCCCCCAGACACTGGGGCACCAGAACCCACACAAGGAAGAGAGAGAGAGTGTGTGTGTGTGTGTGTGTGTGTGTGTGTATGTATGCATGCGTGTGTGCCTCTCTCTTTCGTTCTTTCTTTCTTTCTTCAGGGATGTGGTTTTGCAAAAGAATGCTAAATATGTCTTTGGCATGCAAAAATAAATACAGTGTTCTGAAAGACACAAACACATTTTTCAAATAGGCAGTCATGAAAAGAGAACAGCTGAAACCTGTTGTGACAACTGAAAAGATTTAAGGAAAGGGAGGTAGAGGAAAACACAAGAGAAGATTTTTGACAGCCTCTTGTCATGGCGTGGAAAGATGTTTAGGTGCTTTATTAATATCCGACCCCAAACGGGAAATCCACAGGTCACGGGACAGTCTAATATTTCAAGGGTGGTAGATAGGCTGCATGCAGTCGTGGGACCTAGGCTGCACTCTCTCGTAGGACGTAGGTGGGTTGGGGTTAGGGCCAGTGCTAGATGTTTTGGGATCGTTAAAAGCATCAGAAAGCTGGGAAACCCAGTCTTACCACCCTCTAAAATGGTGGACGTCTTCTGAGGTATTATATTAATAAAGAACCGATGTTTAATTTGGTTTTGTTTACAGTTTGATGTCTACAAAAGTTTTGATTAGCATTGTCCTGTTGGGCTGGGCCCAAAGGCTTTTGACAGAGAGGGACAGAACAACTAAAGCTACTGGCACAGTGGTCAACTCACAGGTTAGTTTTTTTGTCATCATCATCACCACCACCAAAACCTTTATCATTATCATCATCACCACCACAACTGTTATCATCACCATCATCCTCATCATCATCACCACCACCACAACCATTATCATCATCCTCATCACAGTCATCAGACCACCATCAACACCCCCACAGCCGTTATTATCATCATCATCATCATCATCACCATCACCACCAAAACTTTTATCATCATCATCCTCATCATCATGGAGTTTACAGCTTGTGAACACTAAGAAGACAAAGAAGAAGAAGACGAAGAAATATTGAATGAAGGTATTAGGATTTTTGTTGGTCAACATTTTCTTCTTGTGGAAGCAGGAGCCATGGTGGCCTGGTGGCTAGTTCAATTACCTCCATTTATGGGTTTCAAGGTCCCGTGGTAAAGGGGAGGGGTGTGGATAGACCCAATACCTCCTCCTAACAATCATGTCATAAAAGACAACTAATTAGAGTTTTTCTGAAATTAGATGTGTTGGCCCAAAAGGTGCAGATATTGCAGCCTAACTGTAAACTACAAGACAACACGTTATCTGCCCTTTCAAGGACGAACACAGAAGAAGAAGAAAAATAAGTGTGCTTACTCAGCTTCTTCAATGGCAGCATTATTCTTTTTATAATTTCGTCGGCACCCAGGGTCCACCCAACCTTGTTAAAAATTATTACTAGACGTCCTGTCTTACTACCCAGAGACCAGGGGAAATTACTACGAGTCAACATGAAAATATCCCAGCCTTCAACGGGGATTGAAACTGGGACCTCAAGCACTGGAGGTGGACATCATACCTCAAGACCACTCAACCCTCCAATATATTTGAAATTGCTGACTTAGTTAAGCCGCATCATTCACGTTAAAAAAAAAAAACAATTTACAAGTACGCAACATTTAAATTATTGTCTTATTTTTTTTCTTTGATACTTAATTATATGCAACATTTAATTGGGTCTGTGTATTATTTTTTTCATGATGTTTAAAAGTATACAACATTTAAATGTGTGTGCAGATATATTCTTTCTAGCATTAGTTCTTCTAGAAGTTTATTTGATCATAAAAATTTGTTTTTTAAAGGTCATGCCCAGGAAGGAAGATAAAGGACCACATGCAAAAGGCAAAGCAGAGGCAGTGACAGAAACGCCCATACCAGTGATCATCACAACACGTCCCTTGACCCCTCAGTCAAGCATGGCCATCAACACTGACTCAGCGATGGTTGCGGACAGTGAAAGTTTTATCTCTGTGATCCACCCAGATGGGATTTCCAGTATTTCACCATTTCAGCATGAAATGTCTGTCTTACATCCAGACAAGGAGTATGTCATTCTGAATGATACAGTTTTATCTAACACACAAGGTCAAGACTTTGAGGTCATGTCTGCTGCAGATAAGTTTGCTCCTTTGTCTGATAAAGAAGTCAATTTTCTACAAGTTGGTGATCCGTCACCATCAGTCAGCGCAAGCTACTCCTCACACACTAATTCAGTGTCACATTCAACGTCAGATTCAGTTGATCCAGAAATGATTTTTGATGCTGTGGAAGATGTCAGCACCACTGCTTTTGTCCCAGCTGTATTAGACTTTCAGACACATTCATTTCCTGTGGATGAATCTCCTTCAAAAAGCATGGCAACTCATGTTACTTCCAACAGCCAACTAGCCATCCGTTCACTTCAGAATCATTTACTTTCATCAACAATTCATCTACCGGGCTGCCCTAGACTAAACCAGTCAGATCCAGTTGATGAAGCCTGTGAGTGTTTAAACATTTCAGTGGTGAATTCTTTAGAACATTTTAATGTTTCCTCATTACCGACTTTTGATGATGTCAACAAAAATGCATCAGAGGCACAGGAAGTTGAAGATTGTGAGAGTCTATCAGGATTGTCTGCTTCACTTTCTGCTGATGCATTTTAACAGGTTTTTATCTCTAGATTTTATTTTTTTAAAAATTGTATAAACATGAAGAAGAATATTTCCTTATTGCATAGACATAATCAACATTTTTAAAATCTGATTTTCACTTCTTTAGATGCAGCAGTTTTTTGTTGCTTTGCTGACGACGTTGCCATTCTATATCATACATGAAATCAGGTAGGTAGGTAGGTAGTTGTACCCCACCAGGACACCACACAAGCGATAAACACTCGGTGACACAAAGTGCCACGATACGGATGAGGATTATCCATGGAGAGGTCCCAGAAACCCCTTTCAGCCGTTAGGTCATATCTATGGCTAGGCCATATTTATGGCCCAGCTATATTCAGGGCCCCTGACAGAAGCCAGAGTTGGGCATCAAACAAAAAATTGCATCCCACGAGAGGACGAATAATAGCAATGAAATCAGATTTATTTTGAATTAATCTTACTTGATGGGAGGTCACAACAATTGGGTCTAAAAGTTTAAGGAGTTAACAACAAAGGTAATCAGAATAAATCAAGAATATTATCTGCTCTTCCTTACATAACAACAGGTGGAATCCTACACACACATATATATATTAGGGGAAGAGGGATAGCAATATTCTCAGAATACCTCACTCATAGTATCAGATCAGTACTAGTTTATGACAAATGACTACAACCAAAACTAATTAACTACAACCATTCATTAACTAGTCCCTGCACGGAAGAGAAGTGAAGCACCCCCTTTTTTTTAACGCTAACAGTGCATCAAGCATTTCTTGCTAGAATCATATTTTTAAAACCCAATTGGCATTCTTTGGGTGATGTTGTCAATAGCACATCTGCCAACTTGGTTTTTTTCAGGACATTGCCAGGTTTCCAATTTAGACTGTCGATCTGGGAGCCAAGGTCATTTTTGAAGAAGAAAAAATTAACCTCAGTGCGGATTCAAACCCCAAACCTTTGGGCCAGCTAGTGAGCACCTAGCCACTATGTTAACACGGCTCCCACATCATGGAAGGACTGAAATGTATGACACATTCACTTAAGCGGAGCTTGTGAAGAGAACTGTTCAAATGCCACAGAATCAAGAGGTGAGGTAAAGATGAGATGCTGGTTTTAAAGATAGGCTTTTCTAAACCCATAGGGCAAAGTTCTATTTCTATAAAACACCTAAAATCAAACGGAGAAGAGTTAGTGACAGATGGCTAACATGGGAAGAACATGAAGTTAGCCGCAGTAGATGGCTTGGCTGGATTTGGTTGAGGGTCTATTCTTCAGTCAAGGATAAAGGGAAGAAAGAAAGATAAAGTTCTTTGTGGTATAAAACATAGGGTGACCTGAGTTGTCAGCCTCAAAGTCCAAGTCGAGTCCTAAGTCATCACCCTTCAAGTCCCAAGCCAAGTCTGAAGTCACCAAGAATGCTTTCAGGTCAAGCCCAGAGTCAAGTCTGAAGTCACCCAGAATGCTTTCAGGTCAAGCCCAGAGTCAAGTCTGAAGTCACCCAGAATGCTTTCAGGTCAAGCCCTGAGTCAAGTCTGAAGTCACCCAGAATGCTTTCAGGTCAAGCCCTGAGTCAAGTCTGAAGTCACCCAGAATGCTTTCAGGTCAAGCCCTGAGTCAAGTCTGAAGTCACCAAGCATGCTTTCAGGTCAAGCCCAGAGTCAAGTCACTTTGCGTATCAAGTTATTTGCAAGTTGTCCATGGGACAGTGCTCTGCTTATGGATTAAAATAGTCTAGTCATTTGCGTATCCTTTACATGACATTGCAGAACCAACCCCAGCATTTTCTTTTTGGGCTGTTGTGGTTTTTGTAAGCAAATTTTATGTTCAATAGTTTGCCATTGCCCTCTGAATAGTCAGCTCTTGGTACCACTGTATAAACCAGTGCAAGACAAATCCTCCGCAGCTGGGATCAAACTCGGCATTACAAAGCTCATTCATAAGGCCTAAGCCACAGTACCCAAAACAATTACTTAGAACTCAATGTTCAAACTGCAGTTTGCTTCGGGTGTCAAGTATGACTGATGTGAGGCTCCCTGATTTAGAGGCTAGCACAAGCATCAACAGTTTCATGATCCTCGAGTACCGTAGTTCTTTCTCCGTGGTGGGCGGTTTTAAAACAAACTGTTCTCATAGATTTTGGACAGTGATCCGAGGGTCACACCATGGAAGAGATATTGGGGCATCACCATGTAATATTTCCTAACGACAACAGCAGGACACTATGGCCAACCTTCATACCTTCATTGTAGAGACGGTACAGAATTTGTTTTGTTTTTTTTCAAAATGACTAATATGTGAATCCTTTATAACTGAAATACAATTTCAACAACGATCAAACATGACTGCCTGGTTTTTTACCAGGGCAGACGTAAAGACTGAACCATCTCTTGCTGAATACAGAGTTCCGGGCGCAGGTGATGAATCGCGGAAGCTTCGAGAAATCTTAGCGTTCTGCCATTGGTTTATAATTAGTCTTTACGGCTGCCCTGAAAAAAAAAACAGGCAGTCATGTTTGATCGTTGTTGAAATTGTACTTTAGTTATAAAGGATTCACTTATTTGCTTCATTTATGTAATTGTTACTGTAGTTTGCACCTGACAAGATACAGCAAAATATGCCAGGCAATAAATTGTGCAATCTATTGTTTGTGTCCTCTTTGTTCAAATTACAACAGGGAAACATTGCTTTGAAATGACTAATAGTTTTACTATAGGAAAAGCCTTAAATCTAAAAGGTACAGTTGATTTTCTGTGGGTGCTTCAGCTTTAGCCTCCTTGGTCTTCAAATTTAGGCTGGTGGTGTGTGTCCAGGTGCTGTAAAAAATTTGAGGTTGTTTGCATACTGTTCATGATAACCGTTTTGCAAAATTTGCATGGCACACATCTAGTTTTGTCTGATTTTGTTTTAACACAGTCATGACCAAACTCCAGAACTGATGCCACTCTTCAAATTTATTTAAGTTTACTAGAATTAAGATAAAAATCAATCAAAAATGGTGAGAATACAAAGCTTAAAATGGCAATGTGAAAAGCTCACTGAGTTATTTATAAAAGTGGAAGAATTTGAATGTGAAAGCTTGATAAATTGCAACAGAAATTATTCCGTCCTCTTTTATATGAAGACGTTTTAAATCTGATCACCAAACTTCGCAGTGGCCGGCTGCAAAGAATAAGTTGTAAAAGTCTTGAAAGCTACAAGTCACAAGTCCAGTCGAGTCACTAGTTGCTAGGCAAAACCCCAAGTAGAGTCACAAGTTGTTAATTATGAGACTTAAGATGCACTGAGTCCAAATCACATGACTCCAGTTCCAACTTCTAGGTGTGACTTTTATAAAATTAGGGATATTGCTTGCTTTTGAATATGCTGTTTGATTGGCGCTGTGTTGAGTCAGTGATAAATCAGCTTGCTTACCTAGTCACGTTATGTAGTTGTAAGAATTTATGTGTTGTCTGAGAAAGTCAGTCAGTGAGGAAGAGAACTGATCACATCACCATATTTTACCATGACTTACAACATGTCAAAGACGAACACTTCGGGGAAGCCATGGTAGTGTAACAACTAGAGATTAACCTACCGGACCAAAGGTCTTGGGGTTAAACCTGAATCTATGCTGAATTTTTTTTTTTTTCAAAATGCACCTTGGCTGCCAATTGTACCCAGCCTAAAGTAGGTATCATCTATGTCCAGGAAAGTAACACCGGCAGATCTGATATTGCCCACATTACCCATGCCCCTGAGCTTTTTTTTTAGGCGACCTTGACTTCCAGGTCGACCCAGCCTTAAATTGGTACCAAGTAAAGTCCTGGGAAGTAAAGAGGCCGGCGTGATGTTGATCATCCGATTGGTCTATAAAACATAGACTAGCCCTATATGCTCAATAAGCCTGAGGGCTTGGAAAAGGGCCCTTTGCTTTTACCCAGGGCCACTGGCATAAAAAAGGTTCTTCACAATGCTCACGCCCCAATGGCAGACTCAGCTGTGGAACAGCAGGTAATTGTTTTGTGTGATTTTCCTATTAAGTTTACTTTATCCATGCCAGTACTAACCAGACAAAACTGACTCTCAGCAGATATTAGTCTACATACTGATGGTTCCTTTAGCATATTTGTTCCATATATACATGCATGTGTCTCAGGTGCTGCCTTTTTTTTAAATTGCAAGTTTATCAGATTTCAAAAAAATTTGTTTCTCATCTCGTCATGTGCCCTGCTGATAAAGTAGGCCAACATGGTTAGCCAGCTCACAATATCTCTAGTAATGGATCAGGTCTGTGGTCTCGTCACATTCCAGCCATGTGACCAGCCGATCTTTTTGTCTGCTCTTTTTTCATCAAATTTGCAAGTTGTTGTAAGGTGTTCACATTTGTTTCTTCCCATAACATGTCCAAATAAAAAATATGGACTTAATCATTTTCTAATCAGTTTGTGGTTATGAAGATCTTATGCAATAAATACATGTCATGAAAGGTTAGCAAAAGAATGCTTGCATGCTAAATAAAGCCAATTTAAACATATGGCTGCAAATCCTGAACAGTTAGTAAACAAGACAAACAATTTCTTGAGGCCTTAGAGATGTGGTTTTACAAAAGAGTACTTAACATTCCTTGGACAGCCAAAATGAGTAATCCAGATTTTTTAACATCAGTGCAGATTTTAAGACAGCTTATCGCAGATATCAGGACAGAGTCATCTTTGTTTTTGCCACATTATAAAAAAGAATCTGGAAATGTTGCAACAGCTGGAAAGATTTATTAAAAAAGAAATGAAGGAAAACAGTGTGAGAATATGTTTGAGAGCTTTTTGTTATGGCATTGAGGGTGTCAGCGCATGAACTGATACTGAAGATCATTGGCTGTGGAGAGGCATGATTGCCCATGCCAGCCAGCAAGGCATTTGATGGTGATGGTTTTCATCTGTTTCTTTGAGAATGGCCTCTTTTATTTTTCTGTTTTTGCTAGGTGTTCTTTGCAGTTTCCTCATAAACCTGTTGCTAATATATATTTTTCT